ATTTTGTCTTTATGAGGGAGAGGAAACCTGATTTAGCAGCAAGAAGAGGGGGAATGATGCTCCTGAACTTCCCTTCTTTCCTCCTGTCAATTATGAGCAGATCTCTGTGGCTCATCGGTGCACCCATGACTGGCAGCAAAAGGGGGAATGTCCAGTGCCACATCCAGGCTGGGCCATGAGAGGTTGATCCATGAGATGCTGCTGCACGGGGAGCAAGGCCCTGGGTGGGCTCACCTACAAATTGTGAGCAGACATGGAGGTAGGTGCCACAGCCAAAGTCCATCAGTTTTGCCTGTCTGCTGGCCAGGTTGAGCAGGATGCTGTCAGGTTTGATGTCCCTGTGCAGGACCTCGCAGCTGCTGCAGTGCCACACGGCCTCCAGCACGTGGCGGAATAGCCCCTGCACAGGTCTTCCGACAGGAATGCCCGCACCACAGTGAAATCAAAGAGGTCCTGGGATCGCTCTGGGCGCTTCATCACCAACAAGAAGTTGTGGCAGAGCTCAAACCAGCCCAGGAGCTGGACAACACCATGCAACCCAGTGGACATCTCCTCCAGCAGCTCGATCTCCAGGGGTGCGCAGGTGCTGTTGGGCTGCAGGAAGACCACAATGCTGTCAGTGAGACCAATGCCGTGCCAGGAGTCTGGAAGCACTCAGCCATCCTGGGATGCATTTTGCTAATCTCACTCTGCTCTCCCTTGAGCCATCCCAGTGGCTTCCACCCTCCTGGACCTTGGCTTACCCCGCCCAGCACACCCCGGTCTGTGCTGCTGATCCCCCTCCCTCACCAGCTCGCCCCAATGACGGGTGCAATCCCGCCAGACACATTTGATGGCCACCTGCAAGCCAAGGGCAGCAGCAGGCTGAGCTTGGCACCCGCTCTGCTGAGCCCCATCCTCCTCTGCCTGCACCTTCCTCTGCCCCCATCCAGACCCCCACTCACCCGGGCACTGTCCGCCAGGCACAGCCCCGTGTAGACGCTGCCGAAGCCGCCGCGCTCCGGCAGAGATCCCAGCCGGTTTCGCAGCTCGGGCCGGGGAACCTGCAAAAGGAGTCGGCAGGAGGAGCCGAGCCGCGAGTGTCCTCCGCCGGCCCCTAGAGGAGCCAGCACGGAAGCCACGGCCGAGGCCGGAGGCGGGGCCGGAGGTGGAGCAGACGAGCACAAGCGATGGCCATGCTGGCCGAGACCCAGCTCCTGATGCCCACCCAGCAGCCCCACAGGCAGTACGGCAAATGCCGGGCGATGGCGAGCCCGCGGCGCAAGCCCCAGGCCGGTGAGGGAGCAGCCCCGCCCGCGGCCGGGAGGGATCGGAGGCGTGGCCTGGCCCGGAAGGTGGACGGAGAGACCGGGAAAGAAGAGGGTTGATAAGGAAAGGGAGACTGGGAGAAGATGCGCAATGGCGGGAGAGGGACAGAAGGAGCTAGAGTAAGAGACTCAGAGGTTCGCAGAGCTGCTGCCGCTGCTGCCGCTGAAGTGCCGTGACCGTTTGTCCGCAAGCCCCTTTGTCCGTTCCCCGTTTGTCCGTTCCCCGTTCGGCCCCGTGCGCCCCGCGGCCGAGCCCCGTGCGCCCTGCGGCAGCACTGGCCACTTCGCTCCGGGCCCGAACCGGGCTCAGCTGGAGTCACGGAGCAGCTCTCTCTGCCTCCCGCGCCGACACCAAAAACACCGTCTCATGTAGCTTCTTCTTCACTACTTCACAGTATCACACTTCACAGTATGTTATTTCCGGCAACCTTGCAAATTTCCCCTGGTGCTCGCATCCCCCGGCCCTCATCCCGCCCACTCGCCCCGCGCCACCACGTCTTCCTCCCAAGCAAAGCGCTGTCCGGACTTTCCCCTGGGGCATAAGAAAGTGCTGAATGAGGAGCCTGCCAGTGCCAGGCAGAGCCAGCCGCGGGGGAATGCAAAGCAGCAGATGAGGAGGGAGAAGTCCAGCCCCTGCAGGGCAGCGCTGCTCCCCTGACCGCTCGCGGTGGGAGATGGGGCTGGGCCTCCGGTGCTGTGTTCTTGTCGCCAGGACTGTTGGTGTTGTCTTGTCTGGTTCCAGGTGAAAATTGGAGAGTGTGGATAGGATTAAAGGAAAAGAATTAAACTGCTATTCTTCCACAGTTTGGATGCCAGTCCAATATAGCAGCTCAAGTCTCATCCATCTCCCTCCGCCCTTGCCAATGCTGTACTTTCACACTGGAGCAAAGGTCCTCTCTGCCAGGAAACTCTGGCTGGTTTATTTCTCCTGCTCTTTATTGACACAGATAAACCAAACCAAGCTGGATCCCGAGTCTGTTTAAACACGTTAACTTTGCCATGTTCATCCAAGACAAAGACTCTTGACCTCTGCACAATGTAAACACAAATCACCTTTGCTGCTACACACCTACACCTTGCTGCTGTGTATTGTCACTGCTGAGGGTAAAATACTATCAGAGCCTATTGCCTGTCTCTAGAACTCACACTCGATCAAAGCACTGTACTCTAAGGCCTTACATTTGCATGTGTCTTGTGTTTCCAGCATTGCTTTCAAAGAAAAACAAAGAAAGGCAAACTGTGTGTAAATAATGATAGAGTCTGAAACTTACTGAGTCATAGATCTTAGCAGTAAGATGAATTTGCAATTTATGCCATGTAGAACTTGTGCAACACGGAAAAGGGGAGCATATCAATCAAGGAACTCCTACATGTGAACATCTTGCATTCTTTCTTTCCATTTTCATTTCACTTTGGGAAAGCTGTTTCACTTTGCCAAGAATCTTTTCCACAGTCGTGTTTGCTCTTTTCAAGCTCTTCTCTTTATTGGAGAGCTAGGCTGACTTTCTGTCACAAGGTGCGCCACCAATTGCAGCTTCTCTTGCCTTTCAACACTGTGAGTACAGCAGGACTCTTGCAGCAAACCAGGACAAATGGTTTGACAACTGGACAACTTGTCCAATGATTTCCTTGTGGACTCGAGAGCTGTGCCATTGGCCAGGATTTCATTTAGAATATTGTGCCCTAAGAAAGCAGGGGGTGGTACCAGGGAATACAACCGTGGATGAACTCAGAGAAAGGAGCTCCAGAGCCTGCAGCCAGACAGGTAGAGTTGGGCAATAATCATTCCAACACCTCAATGTACACCTTGAAAGTGATCCACAATGTCAAGATGCTCTGACAGAGGTAGATGGTTTCTGTGTTCAGTTTAAATGATTACACAGCTTGTGCTTTTGGAGAAATGCAGAGAAGGACTTGGTTATCTTTATCTGTAAGAAGGGCAACTTTTTCTAAGAATTTCTAAAATATTCCCTGTACTTTTCACCTCCTTAACAAGGCCCTTTGCAACACAGATTTGTCAAGAAGTGAGAACCCTGAACTTCTGCAACTGCAGGGAAGACGATCTGTTCCTCTGCAGGGACACTCAGGTGGAGAGAGGAGCGGGGTGCCTGAGCACTCTGCATGTGAGAGTTCAGATCCCATTTCCCACCTGTCAGTGGCTGGGCTGAAGCGCTAGGTCATGGCAGGACTCCAGCCCTCAGCGTCTTCAGCCACAAGGGACAAGTGCTGCCTGCTCAGAAACTTGCAGCTCTGCACTGCACCAAAGCTTGGCACTGAACCAAGCAAAGCTGCCACTGACTGGTGCACGATGCTCAGGCCCTGGACTGACAACACATGGAGGTTTGTTGTCCTTTGCCTTCCCTTTTACCTCTGGAGCAAGAGAGCGAGCCAGAGCAGGTTCTGCTGCTGCTGTGGTGCTCTGCAGACAGACAGCAGTGTGACGGACAGGCAGTAAGCTGTCACAGAGAACCTTATTTCCAATGAGCTCTATCGCCAGCAGTCCTAAGGAGAAGTCATGAATTTTGAAGAAAATTGAAATCTAAGTCTTTGAAACAATCTTGAAATGGGTTGATGAGACCCATGAAACAGTACTAGCTGTGGTTCTGAACGAGATATTTTCCCCTGGCTGCAATACGTGAGCAATCGTCTGTCTGAAGTTCCCAACAGCTATCTGATGAAAGCCTCTGAAATGGAAAATTTGAAAATAGAACGTGATCCCTTTATTCCTACTCATGTGGACACTGTAGTTTGACAGAGGCTACTGGCTTCCCAGGTGAAGCCAAGGCAAGTGCTGCTGCTGCTGCTGCTGCTGCTGGTGTGCCAGAGAGCCCCGGCTGGGCAGGGATGGCACCACTGTGCCAGGGGCTGCTGCTCCTTCCAGAGCTGGGCGGTGCTTTTGGGCAGTAATGACAGCTGGTGGGAGAACAAAGGGGCCTTTTCCTGGGCCAGCACTTATGGATGCACTAGGAACACCTTCAGGGCACAGTTCTGGCCCCCACAAAGTCAAGCAGAGGGACACAGTTGGAAAACGCCTCCTTTCAAGCCTTCTTCTCTCTTGGGAAAGAAGGGACCAAGTGACAGCACGGGCAGCAGGGCCGATCCCTCCCCCGTGCCTGCAGTGAGGGGCGGCTGCCGCTGGGCGGCGCCATGGGAAGGGAGCGCCCCCGCGCGGGGCGGGCGGGGCGGGGCAGCCGCCAGGGGGAGCCCGCGCCGGGGCGGGGCCCCGCTCTAAGAGGGGAGAGCCTCGGGCAGCTGCGGAGC